ACAACTAAACAATTAATATGTATTTGTAACATTTATATTGAAGGGATAGTTTGGATTTTTTTGAAGTGAGGTTGTATGGTTGTACTTTCCCATATTCAGTGTGATACCTACAGTTCAATCAGGAGAGACAAGAGTATTTTTAAAGCAGAATATGAGTGTACAGATTAAAAGATGATTTGTGCTGATTAAGATTTAACAGAGGTATTTAGCACTTGGACACCAGAGGGAGATATTTTGTGATTGAGGGACATCTGAGCAGCAGCAAAATAAATCCCTAATGGAGTCCAGTCATTGTTGAAGGTGGCTGATGACTCTGAGGCTGCTGACTGATAAGGCTGATGAGGCCGATGAATCTGTAAAGACAAGGTTCATTGTAGCATTGTCTTCCTGACTGAACTTTTGCTAGAGCTTCATTACATGTTATTTGGTATGTCATCAGTTTGGAGAAGCTAAGCAGTCTACTGCTGTGGATGGAGGCAGCAGGACATTTTTTTTAGGTTTCTTAAATACATTTTTCCTCTGTCCTAATCCACAGCAGCTCATTGCTTAGCATCTGTGTTGGTGCTCCTACCGCTCCTCCAATCGGGAGGCATGCTGACAAACATTTACTGTATGTAATACACTGGCTATGGATAAGAATTCCCTACACCGCACTTTGAAAAATTCAAACTATCCCTTTAATTAGGAAACAATGAAATGATAATGGCTAGATGGACTTCTCCATGTCTGTAGATATGTCAGATGTAGTATTTTAAATAAATCTTTGGTCACTGCCAAGAGCGATTACAGCTGGGACCTGACTGTGAACTCCTGTGAAGGATTGAGCTTTAAAATGTGACAGCATCTTCCCAAATATGATGCAGTTTGCTTTTATTTTGCTAGTTTCAGCCTTTCTCCCAGCCCAGAGGTATGAGCAACAGTGTCCCCTGGTCCTGTGGATCAAACCCACCCCTCTACCAACTGGAGACACCCACAGCAGCCCAAGTCTTGTTCAGAAGTTCAGTACCAGAGTGAGAACAACACTAGAATTTGATGGATTATTTTCTATCTGTCATTTTAGAAAAAATCAAATCATATGTGTGATATCACAGTAACACAGAGGCACGGGACAAAGCGAGACATGAGGTCACCTTCTCTCTCAACCAGCTGGAGGACAAGGAGCCCATGTTGGACTTCAGTCTTCACCAGTCCGACACTGAGCAGCAGTTTGAGGGAGATTACTTTGAGGGCTTCAGAACTGAACAGTGTGAAAGAGAAGGTGAATATTGTGCTTGAAATTCTTACATAACCACGATGACTATCTTGTTGAGAATTAACATGAAGTTTGATTTCAGCCTCTCATCTTGGAGGAGGAAAATCAAAGATATATCTCAAAGATCATACACCTGCTGAATCCTCAACACCACAGTAGGTGTTTACACATTAAATATAATCACTTTTTATCATTGATGGGTGATATGCTTTGTTTTTATGTTTATTTTGTGTCATCACTGTCAGAACTGTCCCTGAGTCTCAGTGCATGGACGTGGCGGGAAATGACCACATACATGTGAGTGTGAAACAGTAAAATAGTCTTTTGCTGCCACCAAGTGGTAAAGTTTGTGGCTGCCATGGAACCAACATTGAACAGAGCAAACAATAAAATCTTTGAGACGTTTAAGAAAATGTCACCTGTTTTTCCAGTCATATTGAGATGTTGTACAGAGCCTCTGACAGTATTTGTTACTGATAGTTATCCCGATAGAAGTACTTTTGATTTGGGCAGTTGCAGTTTTACATTCTGTTTTATTCACAGCTCTCCAACTGCACCGACATGAACTTTTGTAAGTTTCCTAAGCATCTCCAATTAATATACCCATTTATTGTGTATAAGCTGTAGAAAAGACAGTAAATAAGGAGATATTTTTTTCCTTTTTTTCCAATTCCATAGCATGTCTTGAATCTAATGACGACCCCATGAATGGCTGTAAATTTTCTTGTCATGGAGGTTACCTCAATTCAGACTCATCTGATGTAAGTAAAGTTACACATTTTGTCCCTCTTGCTGTTGTACTGTGACTGCAGAATCACCTCAGAAAAAAAACAGTTTAAGTTGCAGTAGTTTAGTCTACATTTTGTAATACATACTGCATTCCTTTTAATTAAACTCTGTGTAAATCAGTACTGTCTTTTAAAAGTCTTAAAAGCAGGGTTCCTACAGTAATGGAAAGCATAGAAAAAGTCCTGGAATTTCATATCACATTTTCCAGGCGTCGAAAAGTCATGGAATTTTGTTGTATTTAATGAAATTGTTACAATAATGTTATGTGGATGACCTTCCACGTACTGTAACTTAACGGCAAATTAATTTTCTATAGCTGGTGACTTAACGTAGCTATAATATGCATCAATGTGTGACAGTGTTTTGTTTATCATCACATTTTGTTTCGTCATTTTCATCCTGGATTCGTTTTTCCTTTCCTGTATGCCAGCTAGCTGAAATAATGTTTGAATAGAGTGTGAGTCTATGTTTGAAAAATGCCAGGCAAGTGGGGCAAGAAAAACTGTTTTCTTTATTATGGGTCCTTCAAAAGTCATGGTAAAGTTTGGAAATTTTGTCCATGAAAATGTATGTGCACCATGTAAAAGGCATTGAATTCATTAATCTTGTAAAAAAAAAGGCCTTAATTGGTATTAAACTCTCCTCTCTCTCCTCCTCTCTCTCTTAAATCAATCTTTCAAAAGTCTTAAAAATGCAAAGAAACCAGAAGTAGGATTTAATGAATCTGATTGTTTCCAATGTTGCATTGTAAATCAGTTTCAAAATGATTGGAAGCTGTTGTGGCAGTTCATCTGAGGATCCAAAATACAAACACAACCAGGAAACACTGAATGGTTAAAGGCAGTTTATTGTAGTTTGAAGAAGTGGAGCTGAAGGCTTGAATGAAATGATGGCTGAGGTGGACTGGGAATGGCGAAGCGGAGCAGGCAGATTAGCTGAAGGCAGAGCAGCCCAGATTCAGAGGCAGAATACAATAACAAGGCTGGACGTGGTGAATTATGGTTGAGGCATGAATTGATGTGAAGTGCCAAAAACTTATTAGTTGGTCTGGATTGTCTGTACCTCAGTGGAGACTGAATGATCTGGATGTTTTAGCTGGAGTTCTATACTGCAGTGGCTTGATTGCAGATGAGGTTCAGGTGTGCAGATGCAGCAGCTGCTGGCACTCAGAAAGATTGGCATCGAACACAGACAAGTGTAAGAGGCTGTTTACACGTCGCCGGCTATTTTCATAAACGGACATTTCACCATCTCCGTTTTCAAAAAGATCTTCGTTTACACTTACCCGTGTATATATACACAAGAGCATGCCAAACCTGTAGGTGGCAGTGTAACGAGAGGCTCAAGCCTTCCATGTATCCGTTGTCACCATAGCAACATAGGTCGCACTTTTGACACAGGCGCAACTTCCGGCGCATGTTGTGACGTCGGCTGCCTATAACTCCGTTTATCTCCGTTTATCTCAGTTTACATGCAAACGCGCAACCGGAGTTTTCCAAAATCTCCACTCTGGCCGGAGTTTTTAGAAAGACTCGTTTTCAGAGGAGAAATCTCCGTTTGCGTGTAAACGAAGGGCACAAACGAAGGAAGATGTCTCCGTTTATCAAAATCACCGTGTACGTGTAAACGGCCTCTAATACTAGCAGACAAAAATCCTCCAATCAACATCTTTCAGCAAAAGTTATTTATTTCCTAATTTCACCACACATCAGCACCCACTGTTCTCTTTTGCAATATCAAACATCAGCACTGTTGTGTTTCCTTCTTCTGACTGTATTTTAGGATGATGAATGCTGTGAGCCATGTGTCCACGCTGCCTCTTCTTTTATGGACCGAGCCAGTTGTGCAGATAACCTAAACCCAAACCTGGGCTCACAGGGGAATCCAAAACAAAGGCACAGTAAGCTCAGGGCTTCCACCCCGCTCCTGAGACCCAAAATGAACTTAAGAGACAATCAGATGGAGAATGCAGCTTTCCCAGTTAAAGCCTCTGGAAGTAACAGCCAACGGAGGGGAAGCAGCACAGCTCAGTTTGCATCTCCTCAAGTTCTGGCTCAAACTCAGAGCTCCGAGCTGTGCAAATGCAAGAAAACACCCAGTGAAACTCGAGACGCTGGAACTCAAACTGTCGACAACCCTACAGCTGAGACAGGCAATGCCTGGACTCAGTGCTGCGCTGATGTAGACAGTGAAGCCACTGGATTTAACTTGTGCCTGCCACCTGTTGACGTGTCTGTACAGCTTGCGGCCACAGAGAGGCAGGCTAATACTGCTGCAGAGCCGAGTACAAACACGCCTTCAACAGGCAAGGTGAGGAGTGGAGGGAGGCATACGACCAGGACCAAGAAGAAATCCAGAGCTGGTTCCCAGCCAGGCAGCAGCATCATAAACAACAGTGATGGCACAGTGATCCCACAGAGAGTCATAAACCCCTTTGTTGATATGAGCATGACTGATGGAAGAGGTATAATAAAAAAGTGAGATATTGTGTAAGATTGACATTATTTAAATTCTGCAGATTCCACTGATGAAGACAGAAATGAATGTGGGTATTTTGTTAAGTACGCTTGTTTTCTGCTCTTATTTCTGAATTAGCTAAGGAGAACAAAGAGGGCAGAGATGAGAGAGGGCAACGAGAAAATGGCCGTCTGATGAAAGACCTCTCAAATGAAGTGAGGGAGGAGGTCACATCTGCCACAAGGGCTGACAGACTCTCAGAAGAGGCCGAGACACTTCAGGAAATAGCTGACATTTTGCTCCTGCTCAAGCAAAGGAAGGAGGTGAGGAAGTAAGGTGGATGGGTGAAGACAGCAGGATATAACGCAAAAGCATGCCTGTTCTGTGCATCTTAATTCAAAGCATTATTTTAATAGTTTGTTTCAGCATATTTAACCACATAAAATATACAAAGTGTTTGTTCTATAGGCTACAACAGTTAAATAAAGCCCCAATGCGTCGCTCTGATTTATTTGTTTATTTCTTTCCCCGTATACATATTCAAGTGTTAGAATTTCATGAAGATATTTTTTTTATAGAATATAAACTCTAGCAAAACATATACAGCTTGAACAATAATCAAATATACTATACAGCACTGTTTTTTTTTTTTAATTAGTGTTTTTGTCGTTCCTCGTAAACCGTAGAAACACACATAGTTGGTTCACATAGAAAAGAATTTGCAACCATTTCACCAGAAGTACACATTAAATGTCCCCACAGTGGGCAGAGGACAGTGTCAACACGACTGGATGTCAACAGCTGAAACAATCACGCTAAATATTTGGTCAACACAAGTTTTATTACACAGTCTGTGTTACGGAGCTTCATCTGTATGTGTGTGTGTGTGTGTGTGTGTGTGTGTGTGTGTTACCTGTAATAATACTTTAAGTACAAAACTAGTTGGTGTGGTTTTAAGACAACTCATCCTGGACCAAATGAAAATAACAGATATAACAATACCATCACATTTTGAATTATAATCAGCAATTTTTCCCCACTTTTGAACTAGTCTCCATCGAATGAAACGGTTGACAAGCTTATTTTAAATGCTGACCATTTTCAAAAGCATACAGTACTATTGTTAATATATTGTGACAGTTATAGGGTTTCCTCATGTGGGTGTTTGTAAGCCATTTTATTACTGTGTCACCATTGATGAGAATAATATGGTCCATATTTCTAATATGCTGATTCAGGGTTCCCACGGTCATGAAATTCCGGTCTGAAAATTGTTTTTGGAAATAACAGAATGTTTTGGAAAATTATTGAATATGCGCTGTCCAAAACATGTCTAATGTTAGGCAACATACATTCCTAGAACTATTAATTTAAAATCTAATGTCACGTGATACACATAGACTAGACCAGTATGGTGTCATCGCCAAGGCTCCGCCCTCTTTTGGGGGAAAGAAACACACCATCACATCAGCAAAGGAAACAGGAAAATGACTAAAAGCTTTTGTGATGCAGGTTAACCAAAGCTTTCACACTGAGATTTGAGGCACATAAGATACTCAATATTCACTGTCAGTGTGGTAAGTTGCTGAATAATGCTGGTAACAGTTACTGCGGATGGAGAGCTAACGTTAGCTTGAATGGGAAGCTGCTGCAGCACAGTCATATAGCAGCATATGACTGTCGTCTCCAACTAAATCTCAGCCTAGGTCTAACAGTTGCCCATTAACAGGTTGGTCATGTACAGACAACACTCAGCCTTATGGTACCTCGTGATTCAATCAAATATCTACATTTAATTGAATCACTATGTGTCATGATCCGGACATCTATACATGAAATACCCAACCACTGTGTTGGGTCACTGATAGACTTTGACAGGGGACAAGTGACGGGGGACATGACAGTGCTCAACCTTAATTTGTTAGGCAATCACTTAACATTTAACAAGAAGTAAATACATACAAACTTGTCAAAATTATAATCCAGTTGCATTGACACCTAAATGATATTTGGTTTTCTATCCTCCAAAAAGGGGCGTGGCCTTGACGTCTTGCTAAGTGATAGTATGTGCCCAGGTTGTTTCCATGCATTGTTCATACATACACCTACCAAAAGTAATGCACCAAAATTCTTTTATAACTCATGTAATCATGAGGCAATAATAGTGTGTAACTCTAGTATTTGGGAAGGTTGCCATCATGTGACCAAACACAACACAGGACTTTCCCCCAGGAGACCAGTGTTCAGAACCATGTGACACCAAACAAATTTTGAGTTATTTTAATGTACGTTGTCAGCATGTTAATTTTCCTAAAACTAACCAATGTAATTTTACTCGCCTGAACCCAAGCTAACTTTACATTAAGTATGTAAATTTACGTTAGTTACGTAAGGTTGTTCGTGGGGTGCTAATTTATTAGATACCACTGTATGACGAACCTCTAAACACTAACCACTCAACAACACACAAAACTCAACGTTTTTTAAGGGAGTCTGGTTCTGCGGACACAGAATCTGACAGGTCATGGATTTCAGTGTTACACTGATCTTGTCTATTGGCAGTGAGCATGTACAGCTTGTCGGAGGTGGGACTGTTAAACAGGCAAGTTAAATAGGCCTACCCAGTTTAAACTACTAAAATAAAGTCATAGAAATTGGGTACAGTATTGTAGAGAAGTTGTGGAATGTGTGGGAACCCTGCAGATGAATAATTTCCATAGGCAACCATATGTAAATGTGACATCTTGACAATACCAGAAATATCACAATACTTGGAGCAAATACTTCATTCAGCTTTCACAGGTCACTGAAAATGTCCTAACATCATGCCACGGCATTTGATGAAGAGCTTCTTCATTGAAAGTTTTTTAAAAAGAAGTATTATATCTTATTAAATCATGGTGGGTGAGGACCCACGTGTCAAAAATTATGGACTGTCCTTCACCCGATCATCGGACACAGTACGCCTTAGTTTTGTTTCGTTACACAAAGTTACACCGTATTCTACTTTCAAACAGCTTTTGCTACACAGAAACCTATGTGTGTTTGACTAACAAGGTGTAACCTCACACAATTTTACACTTTTTACAAAACAACATTGGCAAATTACGCTAAAGCCTACTCCTCGACTTTTGACACGAGAACCACGTAAATGATACGCTTTGCTATTTGTACATAAGGCTATGGAGGAAGACAGAAATCAAAATACATGAAATGACAGTAAAAAAAACAAAAACATTTAATTCACGGTGCAATGCAAATATGTACATTTCAAATTAAAAAAAAAAAAGCTATGCAGACCTAATTATCATAACATGATATCATCCACCCACTTCGGGGATTTGGACTGAAAAACGGCCATTAGGGACCTTCACAATACACAGGCACTAATATCATCATGTTTAGGAAATACAAGAGAAGTCTCAATCATTAAACCATGGTTTCAGTCTACCACTGGCCTCCTTTGCTGGACGTTACATGTTTAATACCCAGGTTTATAACAGGAAGTGTAAGTTTTGGCAGCTTCCTTGCAGTAGAGTGACACGAGACTGTCCTCTCCATAGTACTATGTTAAAAACTGCAATTTTTAGAGGCAGGTGAGCAACAGAATTGCAGGCCTGAAACTTAACATAGACTATCCTAAAGCAATTAGTACTTTGTTGCAGTATTTAAATAAATTAATTAATAAATATAAACCATAGCAACTGAGCTGTGCTACTAGATTGGTGAGTGGTTCTGTTTAGGCACCGACTGACAATACAAGTTTTCTAAACTCGAACAATATACTGTACATCTCTGGTGTTTGCTTTTCATAAAAAATATCAGAAGCACAAACTAAGACCGTCATCAGATGAGGAACTGACATAAGTGTGCTATGCTACAAGCGTAAACAACATGTAACTGAGACGTGTTTCATATAGAAAGGCATAATGGTACTACAGATCAACAATAAGTTACAACTGCTGTCAAAAGTTCTGTGGACACACAAACCTGGATCTCATCGCCACATTGGAGTTCTCAACGCATTCTGACAATGACTTTGACGTGTATTACCGATTGTTTTTTATCCTGTACATACGTCATATGTAAATCATAAAGTATATTTAGTCAACAAATGTACAAAATATTAGGAACATATTACTGATGCTGAGCTGCAGCCCCTTTTGCAAAGTACATCACCATCAGTGGACTTCATAAGAGAGGACGTGTCCCTCGTATTTTGTACATGCAGTGTGTCTTTAGCAGTCATGTTTCCTGTACACGTGTGGAAAAGGCAGTGTTTAAAGAAATACTTCACTTGCAAAATGACCATTTGCAGGGCTGTCAGCGTTAACGCGTTAATCACGAGGTGATTAAGATCTGAATGTAACATGTTATTTTTTTTAAATTGTGTTAATGGCATGCTGCTATTTTGGATTTCCAGTCAAGCCTAGGCTGCATGTCAGAATAGATGTTACATGCTTGTGAGTATATTCTAATCAACGATGAAACCAACTTGATGATAGAAGCAGAAAATGGCGTCCCACAGCAGAGAGGGTGAGTAATGATTCAAGGAAATAAAGATTTGTGTCAGGAAACAGCGTGGTGACAGCTCTGCTGCAGTGTGTCAGCCCTGGATAGTCAGCGGGTTTCTTTGAATCTTTAAAGTTGTGAAGAAGACCTCGTTATTCTTTTAAGTGTAATGTACTTGTCCTTTTTTAAGGTGGTGTTCATGTTAAGAAGAAATAAACTACTTGGTTTTATATGAATAGCATTTTGTACTATTACTTTCAATACTTTTGAATATATGCAATTTAATAAAATTACTTTTGATACTTAAGTACAGTAATTTCACAAAGCACCTTCAGTTAAGATTTTCCTTAAAGTCTCAGTTAAGGTTTCCTTGAAAAAAAAAATTGGTCGCACAAAACATCCTCAAGTCCTCTCCTTAAGGTTTCCTTAAAATGTTTCCTTAAGGATCTCTCCTCTTATACTTAAGGAATTGCGTAAAGTTTGTTAAACTGTTGCACGCTAGCCAAAGTAAGGACAAAAACATAAAGTACCTCTGACTCCATCTTAACCACAGCATGGTTGAGTTTATGGAGACAAATGAGAAAAATTAGGGCATCCCGAAAAGAGTGTTCCACGAGCAGGAGAATCCGATGGACACGCTTAATGATGAGCATCTCATTTTGCACTTTAGATTTTACCAGAAATCAATTCATGACTGTCACTGTCAGTGGTTGGATCACTCAACTTTCTAAAGCTGAATGAATGATTGCTCTGCGGTTTTATGCAATTTATGCAACACAGTCTTTCCAATCAGTTATTGGTGAGGTATTTCGTGTCATACTTAAGGAGCAAACTTAAGGTGCTTTGTGCAACCGGCCCCAGATACTTTAATACTTATAACCAAGTAATATTCTAATAGGTGACTTAAACTTCTACCAGTGTCTTTTTCTGGTAAGATATCTGTATTTTAACTCAAGTGTGTCTTTCAGGTACTTCCTCCACCACTGTTAACAGCTTGGTGTTGGATGTTAGCAGCTGCTGTGTTTGCTCGTGTTAACCGGGCAGACGATGAACTGACAGCAGAGACTATTGATTTAACCGAGATGGTCCACTTGAGATTAGCAGCAGATACGAGCAGCAAATAAGGAACAAACATTAAATTTGTACAGTATGTAGTGTTGTATTGTTTTGAACCTGGGAGACCAGAAGTGTACACCATTTTGTACCATTGGCGCAGCTTGTAATGGGATACCTTCTGCTAACTTTGCTGACAGTTTGCCGAAGAGCACAGCTCTGGAGACGCAGCAACAAAAATCATACCTACCAGGTAGGGAGTTGGGACGGTGTGGGATCAGACCACTGTGTGAAAAGAATCCAATTCAGGTTAAGTTTCACTGAAATGTTGCTATTGACTACAGACATTTCTACAACTAAAGGTATTAAGTACCGTTACCCAGCCCTAGTTTTAATGTAGTTTTACTGTTAAATGCGGACCCTATTTAGTTCAACTCATGAAGATTGTTCGCCTTCTTTGGATCCTCCATTCACCGGGGAGGCATATGACAAAAACAAAGTTCTCTTCGCATATTCAGGGTATCACACGCTGAGTAATTAACATGAAAGTGGTCATTTTGTGGGTGAAGTTTTCCTTTAAGCCTTTTGTAATTGAGATGTTTGTGGTGCCTGGTTGAAGATTCAGCTGTCCACTAAAGCAGGTTTGACTCCAGATTTGTCATCAGTTCACCCTCAATTCAGAGAATAGGCTGAAAACAAAAGACCCTTTCTGCTATTAAATCACTGATTTTGGATTCCTGAATTGACTGGATTGGAGGTGAACTCACTCACATTACTGACACAAGCAAAACTCTTGTGGCTCCTCAGCTCACACGCAACAAAAAGAAAGATATCACAGACCCAACCACTCTGCATGTATCACTAATCACCCAAACTCTCTAGTCCACATCAGATGCGTCGTTGTCCGATAGATGGTAGTTTGAACCTTTGACTCGGATGTATTCAACCTGCCGTCCCTCGTCTGAATCAGAGGCGCCGCAGGAGCAGAGCTGGTTTTCAAACAGAGCTTCGATTTCCTCCAGGCGGCGGGCTTTGGTCTCTGGCAGGCAGCCGTAGATGAAGAAGAAACCCAGCAAAGCCAGGCTGGAGTAGAGGAAGAAAGCACCTGGGAGGACAAAACAAAAGACACACTGTCACTGAGGACAGCCGCCTATAACACAAGGAACACACAGCCGTCGCTTTTTATAAGTAAGTTCATTCATCTACAGTAGAAGAAACACCGGTGGTGGTAGTGGATCCTGATGTAAGAGATTTCTATGGAGATGTGTGTGTGTGTGCTGAAAAATAAAAGTGTTTTACCTAATTGAAATATTGCATTCAGGCTGCTGGTCACCACACAGTAACTTTAAAGTAGAAATACCACGCACCTGTGTAGTAACACCACGCAAATGGTGTTACTACACAGAGACGCACCTAGAAATAAGTATTCACACAGAAACACAGCGACGGAGCTTTAATGAGATTTCCTGACCACAGTGATCTCTATTTTCTCCTTGTCAGAGCAGAATGACATTTTTAAGCTGCAAGTGTACATTATGCTGAATACCATTACCATTTCTATGGCAACGTCATTATGTTTTTTCAGCTTGGACGCTGTTATTCTTATGTTCTCAGTGAACGATTCCTATAAACCAGATGGATGGATGAATGCCTTGAATCTATCATTAACCCGCTGCATCTCAGGATGCCTCTGCGTTCACCGCTGATGGATCGATAGCTCCACGAAAGGTCAGTTCCTTCCTGTCTGAGGAGAAACCTGCTGTTGAGCCACACTGATGGAGGATGTATAGAAGGAGTAAAGGTTGGAAACACATCGGGGTATCAATCAGCTGTCACCATCGTGCTGGTTTTGACGTAAGGATGTATAATATGCCTGTTACACGATATCTGCTGAGACGTTTGCATAGAGAGTGAAGGAACTGAATGAGGACTGACAGCCCTGATGGCTGCTGGTAATTATTCCTGACAGGAGTGTTAACTCTGATCGAAATTACACCAGCTCAGTTTATCTCCTCCTCTGTCTTCCACAAAAGCAAAGAATATCAGCTCTAAAGAAACTGACCGTAGTAGGTGAAGTACTGAGCCAGGTGCAGGAAGGTGAGAGACACCAGGATGTTGAAGGTCCAGTTGACTCCGGCTGCGCAGGCGTTCCCTGTGCTCCTCGCCCACAGAGGGTAGATCTCTGAGTTGATGGTCCATGGCATTGGACCCATCCCTGAGAGACAGATGAGAGATGAGGGATTACTTTATGAGGCAAGTTCCAACAGGAGACTTGGAGGGGAGGTGTAGTATGTCCTCTACAATTCTGTGACAACTGGGCAAACTCCATCTGCTGGGGAAGATTGTGCGAGATGATTGAAACCTCCAACTCACATATCACCTGGTATTTTGTGGCTTTAAAGCAACATGATGCAAGAATTGGTATATTTCAAGCTAGTGCAGAAGTGCCTAAAACTGCAGTTCCCTGAATGACCACTTGAGACTCCAGAAGCAAGTCAATCCCCATAGACCCCCATGTTAAAATGCCAGACTGAACAGCAGAAATAAACATGTTTAAACCTGGTATAAAAAACAGTTTAGTCTCTATAGCTAATTTTCCCCTTCATGGCAACTGTAGGGGGGTAAATTTTTATATTAATCACAAATTTACATTCTATTAAGGCTTAAAGTTAAGCATAATTAAGGGCATGGCTGCTCTGAGTGACAGGCTGTCTGCTAGGTGTCGACGTAGTCTATAAGTCAGATCCACCCATCGCTTCTCCACAGCCCCAAATTTGGTCACTCCTGGCTCCAAAAAAGGATGACAACGTCTGAAATTCTGAACTTGAGGCTTCATAATGGGAGCTCACAAACCAATGGATGATGTCTCGTGTATAGTTTTATAGTGATTTGGCCCCACTGCAGTTTTAGAGTAGTACACCACTGTTGTAAATACAAAGTGCGCCTGCAGGATTGCAATCTGTTTATACTGTCCTGACATAAGCCATAGAGATCTGTCTCACAGCCAGCGGGAAAATGATGACAATCTGGCAGCAGAGTGTACATTCATGCTAATGTTATTTATGAAAGATTGTGCCATAGGCTGTAACCTTATCGATGTCTCACAAAGTGTCATGAATAGCGGTACATGTGCATTTGCTGACAAGCTGAAGAATTAGGAACCACCAAATAAGATGCCAGAAGCCAAAGAACCATGTCGACTGACAAGGTAGAGTAATATTACAGGACTTCACACAAATATGACTTTGTGTAGCATTATTTACTATGACATTGAAGATGGAAACTAACATTACTTTTGGCCTCCAGAAAACTACAAAACTTCTTGTGACAGGGATGAAAGCAACAAGGCTGCTGTCGAAGTCACAACCCTTTATAAATAACAGTGGCAAGGATGTACACTCACTGTCTGATTATTGTTGTTTTCCTGTTAGCCTTGTGAAAGATCACTACTGTAATACATTGGAATGGCTTTTAAATAATCAGGCTAGCAGGCTGAACTTAACTTGCGTCTTTAATTAAGACAACAACACAAATAAGAGACAGTTCCTGTTACAGCGTCACTTAGTATACAAGACTATTATTTGTTGGCCAACCATTAAGTAACATTTGCTTATTATAGCCACAAGGTGGCAACAAAAACACCACTCTATTACAACTACAGCTTACGTCAGGACGGTATAAACAGTTTACAACTCCACATAAGTTAGTTTGCCCAATTACAAAGTATAATTCACGCATTGCTAACGGTGTATTAAGTTTAGATTTTTACAACAACAGTTCTTTCTATTGAGAATACAGAGCTAACTGAGCTTACCTTAACTTCTTTAACTAACTTTATTGAGACAATTACACACTGTTTACAACACACTGTGTAGGCTTTGCTACTTGAGTGTACAATTACAAACATGGCAGGACCTAAAGGTTACAATAAAAAAGATTAAAACAAACTAGCTTTTTATAGCTAGCTGGTGGTGTGTGCTGTGAGGCGTTAAGCTTCTCTTACCCGCTTAACAAAGTTACATAATGCCAGAACAGGAGTTTAGAGCACGGAGTGGGAATGACAAAGGCACTATTATCCCTATTACAAGTAGAGCTGCAATGATTAATCGTTAAGTTGTAGACTATTGAATTAATGTCCAACTAATTTGATAATCAATTAATCCGTTTGAGTATTTTTTTAAGAAAAAAAAAATCTCTGATTCCGGCTTCTTAAATGTGAATATTTTCTGGTGTCTTTACTCCTTTATGACAGTAAACTGAATATCTTTGGGTTGTGGACAAAATAAGACATCTGAGGATGTCATCTTGGTCTTTGGGAAACACTGATCAAATTTATTTATTTTTTTTCCATTTTCTAATACTGTATAAACCAATCAACTAATCAGCTGATTGAGAAAATAATCAGCAGACTAATCAACAATGAAAATAATAAAATAACAAAATCATTAGTTGTAGCCCTAATTACAATTCTGTGTACCATCTAAATGATGCTGAAGTTGTTGTTGCAAGATAAAAAAAAAGAAACTGCAAAGTGTTGCTTCAAAGGAGCCCTACATGACAATCAAGTGAATTACACAAACGTCACACAATAGTTAATGGTAAACTTAACATAGCAATGCAGAAGGATGAAATTGGTACTGAAATAACAAGTGTAAATGCAATGAAACACAAAACACAGGTTCAATCTTACCTGGAGCGAAAGCAGCCAGGTAGAACACCAGACCCAATAAAACCAGCCAGGAGTAGGAGGTGGGACAGTAGTTGTAGGCCCAGTAGGTCTGATCTCTCATCAGGCTGGAGTTGGAGCATCTGCAAGAGAGAGGCACATTCACTTGCTTTTTTAATTGCACCTGACACTGATTCTCAACTACAGGTGAAATGTGTCATTTCATCAAAACTCTAGAATATATCTTACATTATATTAAAAATAAATCTCAACATGGTGTAGCCCCCCGTTTGCTGCTTCCTTAACACATACTCATGCAGCATCCTGTGACTCACCTTCCCCATGCTGCGTGCTCGGTGGAGGCCTTATTGACTGGCACACAGGAGGAGGCGAGGAGCGCCGAGCCGTTCTCACGATAACAGAAGCCACATCCAGGGTCCAGCATGCACGGCTCGCACAGCCTGCAAGCCAAACAGCACACACAATAGCTATAATTTCCCTAAATAAAATCAGTCGTACTGTACAGTCGCTCCTAAAGTCACATTCCTTCACTTTTCATAAACAGAATTTAAAAGTATGGAGTTGCACTGTAAATCTAAAATACAGTATCTGTCTTAACAAGACTGGACTATGACAGAAAACAGTGCCCCACCCTCTTTAATTGAGACTCTAATTGCCTCATTATCCAAATGAAATTAATGTATGGACAGTTCCCCACATGCAGGAAGTAATGAATTACATCTTTATCCTGTTCTGTGCCATAGTCAGTGATGTGATAGGCAGAGGCAAACCCATTTTTCACAAGGGCACACGTTCTTTTCTGTGCAGCTCCATCAGGTTTGTTTGTTGTTGTGATCCTGATGGAAGTGTGTGAAATGTGTGTGTTTTGTGTCAGAGGTCTATTTTTGCAGGCTGCAGCGTCCCTGTGTGCAGGGCACCTTGCTCTAATTTCACACTGAGGTCAACCAGACGAAAATAAAACCTTGTATTAGTGCCGGAGGAAAGCAAAATAAACAGTGAGGGAAAGTGAGGAGAGAAATGCAACAGCTTAGATTCAGCTGAGAATCAGATGATACATTTTTAAAAATGCGCACAATATTGATGCTTTAATAAATATCATAGATTATGTATTAGCATAGCTGTGGAGTTTTCTCCTGTGTTTATCTGCACTAACGTAAGCTGCACAGGGCCATCCCTACAGTATGTTCACAGGGTCCTGTGTCTCCTGAGATAAACTAACATTGTTAGAGATTGGTAAGCGCTAGCTTCACAGTACAAATTGCTAATGAACAAAAGGGTATGGGCATTTTAAATGTGGACATAATAATGTCTAAATTCAAGAAAAGTTTCAGGGCATATTTTTCAAAGAGTACAACATCAGTTGGCTGTAAGCTGTAGGTGGGTAGTTTCAACATATTGACCCAGGGAAACATCGGCTACTTGAACATTTGACCCAGGGCATAAACATTGCTGAGAACACAGAAACCTTTGAAAGGTCTCTGTAATGAGTCATATCAAGTGGATATTGAGCTGGAGAACACAGGACCATGGGAACATAGATACTCTCCCAGCTGCACAATTTTTAACTGAATGCCACTAGTTAATAAAAAATAAAAAATTAAAAAGCGCTTGCTGCGCCTTTTTATTGTTGCCAGGCAACCACCCCATCACATCCTGACACTAACCTCCCTCTGTAATCAATCGTGTTTTTTTCTCAGTAATTAGTATCCATTCCCTAGTCCCTGGACAGGCAGAACGTACTTGCTGTAGCTCTGGTTGAGGGTGAGAGGCTGTCAGTAAATAGTTTGTTGGGCACAGGGAAACAGAGATCTGTGTGGGTACATGAGACCCTAAAAAAGAGGGTGGATCATGGGGAGAGGTCCAGGAGCTTCGCCTCAGTGATGGTTATTTCCAGGCATATTTTAGAATGAGGGCCAGTTTGACAACCTGCTGTCTATCATCTATTCTCCTCCATCGTTTACCAACTGTAAACTTGTTGTCGTGACCACCACAGAAGACCTGCCTCTCAAATCAGAATGGGGAAAAATGGGGAAAAAAGATGATGAAAAATGAGATGACGAAGCGCGTAGAGCTCAGAAACGCTAGGCATGTCACAACGCAAAAACCATGAGCAAAAAGCTTAATTATCATTAAAAAGGCGCCTCTAACTGCTAAAACTCTTTCTGTGTGATCAGGGCCTAACTTGCTCTACACTACAATAAGAGAACAACGCTTCTTCTCTTTTGTGTCTTCTACATGTACACGGTTCATCAACTGGTGATGATTTTTGCCTGGCTCTAGCCTCATTCCATTAGTACAGTGTCGTGTATGTATCCATCAATTGCACATTTCAGCCATTTCACACTTTATACTTTTTAAGCCAATCAGGAAACATGAAACAGCTGATAGACAGAAACATGTATAACTGCATCCACATTCTGTTTGGAGTCTATACGACATGGCCTTTCAAACCGTGCCTACCACCAGTACAAGATAAACCCACCGACGCAATGGTTATTTGACCCTGCAACAACGCAGCGTTGTAGTGAATACATGAGGGCAAATGTACCAATTATCCACTTTATAAGTACATGAAGACATGATTCACCATATAAGTAATGAGATGTAACCCGTATTCTAACCTTGACTGCCTCTCAGATGTCATTGTTAGCTAAATGCTAACTTCACATTTTCTTCAGGCCTAGGTTTTGGACTAAGAAGCAAAGGTGGTTGATCATGGTTTGACGTGTAGGTATGGTGGGTGATTCATGTAGCTGGTGGATGGGTCACGTAGCTGCTCCAGCTGCAGCTATACATACATAACATGGAAAGACTTGTTTTCTCCCAGCTCATGGAGCTAATGTTAGCTTAATTAGCTAACAAGCTACAACTAATAAAGTCTGCTAAATCAGGACATTTCAGCCAGCAAAGATAAAAGATTGCTGTTTAAAAATGAGGACCCGAGTTTGTCTACCTCTGTCTGAAATCAAAGTTGTTTTGTTTCAAAAATTACAAAGAAATTTCAGATGTCAGTCTGCTAACGATATCACTGTAACTGCATACGTGCCACACAAAAATGGTAATAATATCAACAGGCATAGAAACAGTAACTAAAGGGGCTTAGAGAATATACAGCTGTTCATGTTACGGTATCATATCCAAGACATTGCATCATTTCCTCGGCAAGTAATGAACACTCAAACCCGACTGGAGACACCTTAAGAATACATGAGACGTCCCATCCACAGTGAGTGTGAGAGGCCTGTGGTGGCTCTAGTGCTCCTTGGATGCTGCCATGGTCAGCTAGGGGATGTGTGGGCTCATATGGAGTAAAGTGAACTCAATGAAGCCACTACAGTGTGGTAAAAGCACTCATGTCTTCAAATTACCCCTATATTTGTGTGTTACAGTGTGTGGGTGCTGGACAGCGAGTCCATTAGGCGCTGTTTGTTGTTATGATGAAAGACCGTTGTTACACACGAGTTTCATCTTCGTCTGTGTAACTGAGAACAAATTGGGACATCGAGGCATCTGATCTCTGGCTCGCGTGCAAACACTCTCTGTCTCTGTCTGTGTGTGTTTGCCCTTTGTTGCACATGGCGACAGTGAAGTGAATTGTAGCTGATTTAGCCCTGCAGTTTGGGAGATGATAAAAATCATAAGACCAATATTTACTCAGAATCTTTACAGTGAACCCAACAGTTTATCCTGTTATTAATAAATTAGAAGAAACACAGGATAATTGCTGTCTTGGGCCGTTTCTATATACAGACCCTGAGTTATGAGCTGATCCTCCTGGCGGGTAAAGCGCACATATCTGACCTTCAACCAGACTCTACATTTGCATTATGTGCTGGCACTAATTTTCACCTGGAGATCTGTTTTAATGTATGTGTGAAAACTTGCAGTAGCTTCCCCACAGATATCCTTTTAGAAGGGTTTTATCCTCTGAGGCTCTCCACCACTGAGTGCGCTCTCCTGCACTCTGGATTGATATTCTGACACTGTAAAGTATTGAGTGCTTTTACAAAGAGCAGAAGTGCTTGAAGGTGAACAGCTGTCTTGCTGTAGCTCTCTGTTTTCAGCTGTGCCAGTGCATTATGTGACAAAAGGTGAATAATGAGACTTAATATCAACCCTGGTGAAGAGCTGGTGGAGAGGGGACTACAACAGTAATCTTTAAATCACACCCACACTCCCACACCTACAAATATTTTTTGCTTATGCTTTGTAATAAAGGGAGATGATGAGTGTTTATTGTTTCATAGTTGAAGAGGCAGCAGCAGAGGGTCCATTGTGCCTTAATGAATGCCACTTGAAACCAAACTGAACTCTACAAGTGTGTACTTACTGATATTTGGTGCAGGTGGAGTTGGCCATAGATGGGTCTAATGGGTGGAAGGTGACAGGAGGCGTGTGCTGTGCCGACAGCAGAAAACCAATGGCCAGCAGACTCAAACTCAAACATGTACCTGGCGGAAAAATGATACACGTAATATGCAAGAATGATGGTTTAGACATCATGACCTGATGTGGGCATGTCGAGTGACTCACCAATGATGCTGCCCAAGATGAGCTTCCTGCGCCCCACTCTCTCCACCAGCCACACGCCAAGCAGGGTAAACAGGAAGTTGGTGAGGGTGGTGAGTCCAGCTAGCCAGATGGCTAGTCTGTCGTCCCGCACTCCTGACATCTGCAGGATGGTGGCGCTGTAGTACCTGTGAGACACAAAGACTAAAGAAAATTAATGTGTAGCTGTCATTGTGATATCAAAACATAAATTTATCCATTCTGAGAGTGGATGGTGGCAGGGCGTTGCAGTTCCCAGATTTAGCTGCAGAGTGAGCGCTCCTCGCTTTCACACTGCTCTCAAACAGGCAGCTGTGGACCCAGAGCCAGGATAATTCTGAGTGAGAAAGAGGCAGCTGCCCACAGGAAGAGAGGCTTTGCCCAGTCAGGCTCTGAGGTAATTGTATCTTCTGCCATCAGCTCAAAAGTCTCTGTTTTTTCTTTGATATCTACTTTTGGCAAAAAATGTTGTGATTAGCATAATTAGCACGCCATGGCTGACTTGGTTTGTTTCGTATATTACATGAATGTTGCTGTCATCAGTGAGCATATATCGCCCTAGTTTTTGCGGTCTGTCCCGCACTGTTGGCCCTTATCAGCCGTTGTTGGTTTCTTTCGGTCAATTCAGTGCGTTGGCTTCAGAGAAGAACGAAATGAGGAAAGTAAACAATAGACTGAAGTCAAGAGGGCTTTGTTGACTTGTTATAAGATATTTTTTTCAGCCATTGAACTCATTAACAGAAACAGTTTGTAATTGTTCGCATTATTCTTGGTGCACGGTAAATATAATTTGTTCTTTCAACATTAGGTTGTGTCATTTACATGCTAACTGGCTAACTAGGGTCTTGAATCCATCCCGTCAGTCTCTCTGTTTTTAATGACTAATACAGACTACCACCACCTGCTGCTATGGAGAATTATTTCCTTTTATGCAAGTGCCAAACATACGTGTTAGTTGGCTGTAGGCTATAGTTTTTGCAGTGTGTTGAAGTGCAACTTTTTGGCCGTGACCTAGGTGATGTGAGGCAATTCAACAGTTGGCCTTTGTCTCAACTAGTTCTTTGATGTCAGTTTAGTGCTTCTTGGCCTTAACTTGCCACAAAAAAACTAATAAGCATGTTTCCCAAACCTACTTCATTTGCTTTATTTGGAGGTAGAATTGAAATTTTGTCCACACAAAAGAGTCAGCAATGATCCTGTATTGCACAGGAAAAACACGTGCTCCCAAAACTAAGGCAAGTGGTAGTTATTACTGATAAAAGCTATCACCAAGACCACAGAAAAGAAATTATAATAAACCAGAATTATTCTCACAACATAAATGTTTGCAGTATTAATACACATATAATATATGACATTATTAATGGAGACAAGTCAACATACCAACCACAGCCTCTCTCTTTGAGAGCCAAACACTCATCCACCAATCACAGCCTCTCATCTATCAGCTATAAATAGTCTCTCAGCAGTCACTTTCAATGGCCCTTCCTCTTCCTCTCTCAGCCTGTTCTCGTACAGTCTAATTATATTTGCAGCTCTGGCACCACGTTGCTCCACGTAGGCAGATTATCTCTAATCATCATCAACAAATCTCCAAACAGGCTGCGGTCAACAATACAGACACCTGCATGGGGTCCGTTTCCCACTTCAATTATGACACCATGTTACTACGATAGGGGGACAAAAATGTGGTGGTCGCACAAGCACACACACCTGCAAGAACTCTATTCAAGGCATCATTATGGAAATGATGTGCTTGATTCTCACCCACAGAGATAGGTATGCACACCAGCTGTATATAAACACAAAGAGAAAACCCGTAGAGAAATCAACACAAGTACAAAGAAGGTAATACTCGTTAAAGAAAAATAAAATAAATAAAATAAAGAAGTCTCCCGCATTGTCTGCTTCTCTGCGTCTCAACGGGCAACTCAGAATTAGCATTCTGCTTTTCATCTCTTCAAAAGGAATTGTTCACTCTTTTGTGCTCTCTCTCTCTCTTCCTGAAAACAAAGACATTCATTTGAGGGATCTGCATAATAACTCTTTATTTTTCTGCCATGGTATCCAGTCAGACAGGACGAGAACGGAGAAGAGATGAGATGCTGTGAAATTCTAGTAAGTTTTGGCAGATGATAAAAGTTAAAGATGGCCTTATTATCGTTGTGCAAAT